CCCCTGGCCTACGTGGGATGGGTCCTCAGCATCTAACACAGTTTTCTTCACTGCTGTTCTGGTAGTTTGATTTCCACATAGACTTTCCTATAGGTCAGTGACTGTGCGTGCCTAGGCTTCTTGGCTATATTGTCTATTATTCATAAATAAATGAGCATTTGAATTTATCAGTCTTCTATGAATTTGGTTGGTGTGAGTCAGATCTTTCCAACTTGTCTGCCTCTGGGAAATGATCAAGTTGCCTTTCTGTACCTCAGGGCTGAAGACCAGACCTAGAATGCTGTCAGCCCTCTGATTCTCTGATTTTTAAAAAAATATATAACAATGGTGCTCACTTTGGCAGCACATACACTAAAATTGGAACGATGCAGAGAAGATTAGCATGGCCCCTGCACAAGATGACATGCCAATTTGTGAAGAATTCCATATTTTTTTAGAAAAAAAAATAACAATGATAATAGATGTTTTAAGGTATTTATTTGTCTATGGTGAAACTATAATGTTATGTTAAAATATGGTAATGATATTACCCCGACAAGAAGGTGAAGGGGAATCAAATAGGTAGAGTTGAGAAGTGGGGCCAACCTGGGGGTGAAGGCCCCCGACTGCTGTTCTCAACTCACTGCTGATGTGGGTGTGTCTCTCCTCCTGGACCTGAGCAGGAGGTCCCTGGTGGATTTGGCACATGAGATTTTTCTTTCTGTACAGGATCAAAGGAGTTTGTTTGGTGGTGCCCTCTGGAGTGGGGGACCAAGATGGTGCATGGAGACTGAGACCTTGATGGGAGGAACAGCTGGGGGTTGAGCAGAGACTGGGTAGTACAGTTTCATGCAACATACATCTGTTGAGCAACTTCTCTGTGCCACAGGTTGTGGCAGGTACTCGAGAAACTGAGGAGTAAGATTTGGCCTCAGACCTAGAGGAACTTGGCCTCCTGAGGGTGGTTCAAAAACAGAACAGTTAAAACGCAGTGTCTAGGGTGGAAGGAGAGGGAAAAGGTGTGCCAGAGTTTCTTTTCTTTTCCTTATTCTTAATAGCACCTGCCCCATTCACAAGTTGGAAGGGACTGTTCCAAATACCACAGGACACTTCCTCCCTGCTACCTCTGCCAGCTGATTAGACAAGTGCCTGATACCTGAGCTCAAGTGGGCCAGCCAGAATCTCTGCCAGGAATTTGGAATAGAGATGCCAAGTGGCTTCAGTTGTGTGGAAGTTCAAGTGCTCTGCAGGTGGAACATAGGAAGGTGGTTTGCAGAGAGAAAGATGAGGCTCAGGGAAAGCCCAGGTGACAACAAGAGAGAGGGAGAGGGGATGGTGGTGTCCACCTCCTTTCCTGCATAGTGTCCTGAGCTCCCAGTGTCTTTGCAGAGCAGTCTCTCTCTAAGCTATTTGAACAGGTTTGTCCCATTTATGAAATGTTCCTCAAGAAAAAAAGGTGCAGGAACTGGCTGCCATTTCAGCCGAGCCTTTCACAAGGCAGACGCTTCTAGTGCCTTCCTTATTCTTAGGTGAGGAAATGCTTCGATATAAATATGTGTGCGTGCACACACACACACACACACACACGGATGCACAGCATAAGAATTTTAGTGTTTTCTTAATTTTTAAAACATCTTTGTCTTAGTTTTATATAAAGTTTTCCCAGCTCAGCTACGAGGATAAAAGAAAGGAATTTGTTGTGTGTGGGTTTTTGTTCACAGATTGGCCTTAAGAAGAGACTGAGCCTTAAGGCCCAGAACTGACAGAGAAGGTAAGAGAGAAACCAGGGTAGTTAATGACTAGAGCAGAAAAATCGGGAAACTCCTTTGTAGTTGGGCATCTTTCAAATTCTTGAAAAAAACAAAACAAAACAAAACAAAAACGTATTTAGGGGAAGAAATTCAGTTTCCCATTAGTATGAAGTCATTCCGTGAGGCATATCAGACCTCCTTTTTAACTAGAACCTTGTTATATACACTTTGTACAATTACTTTTCCCACAAGTATTGTTTTGGTTACACCTCATTAGATCTTGATATGTGCAACCCACTAGGTCTTGATATGTGGTATTTCTTTTTTCACTGAAAACATTGTTTTAACACCTTAGATATACGCTCACCTGTTATTTAGAAGAAAAGATTCAATATTCCAAGTACCTGGGTTTTTTTTTGTCATAGTTTTGTTACTTCTAATTTTATTACATTTTGTTTGAAAAGTGCTAGTGCAGACAAATGATTATTGTTTGCATTTCACAACCTTTAAAATGTTATTTTAGGAATTTTCAACTTAGGATGGTTAAACATGGAATCTCAGTTTTTATGTTCTTTCTTATAAGAACTTACTGTTTTTGTATTTTTTTGGGAATCTTGCTGTTAATACTGTTCAGGGACTGCCATGGCAGGTCAGGGGACGTCGAGTCCACAACCTGCCTCAGCAGGGACTTAGCTGTGTATTGAGATGGCAGAGCAAGGGACTCTTGAACAGGCAGGTGGCACATCATTCTCTCTTCTCTAGTGTCTGGGAACTTTGAGAGGCATTCATGCACAGCAGAAAAAGAATGAACAGTTTCGAGACAAATTATTCTGACTTTAAATGTATTTTAAAGGATTTGGGAACAACAAGGAGTGTTATTGCTTGTTGTCTGGTAGATTGATCAGGAAGAGAAAAGGCATTTTCAGTCCAAACTTCGCTGATCTTGGTACTTCATATTTTAGGAAAACTTAGCCAGTGTGGTCCACGAAGAAAATTTATCCCAAAGGAGCATTTAATTGTTTTTAAGTATTTGGTTTGTGCACTTAATAAAGTTTATAATGTTTTCTCTTTATGATCAATCTTGGCATTCTTATTGTAGGAGGTATGTTTCTATGAACACATCCCTAGTAGATAGCATTTTACCTACTGGAAATAAGGTGGCCCAACTTGAGTCATTTACTATATTGTTATTTGAGAAAAACATTATTGACTTGCTTAATACCATATCAACTTAATTAGTAATAGGGTAGCAATGTAAAACGTTTTGTTTGATGAGAGATTATATCCTTGTGGGGCACTTAAGAATCCTACTGCCTATCTTCAGTGTTCTATCATATTTCCTTTGCATGTTTTATTGGTTTGTAATTTGGACTACAAATGTTAATGTTAAACATATATATTCATATATATATATTCAATAGTTTTTTATTTTATGTGCCATTTAATTACCATATGGTGTCATTCTTATATAAATTTATTTCATTGTGGTTAATTTATTTTCTCTTGTTTAATTGAGAACTTGATTGAGCTCACATTGTAGTAGAATGGGAGGGAATTCACTCATTCTTCCTGAAGCTTATGTCAAGTTTGCTGCTGTTGTTGGGTATTTTCTTAGTTTCAGGATTTGTTTTTTTTATTTTAATGGGATTTCTATAAAAGACTAATCTCAGAAGTTTTACATACATATATGTTGGCTTAAAATCTATTTTCTTTTGTATAACACACACTGTATCTCTGTGTCTGTGTGCATCTGAGCTCTCTGTAATTTAATTGTAGTCTCTTCTTGTCTGTTTGATATTTTGCCCCTCATTGATAATGCAGTTGGATCAGCGGCTCTCCAGGTCCATTATAGGATGAAGTTCATCAACTTTGGTCATGCCCGCCTTTGTTTACCTCTGCAGGGTTGTCTCTGATTGCGGGCACATATACACCAGTTCACATGGCATTTAAAATTGTTTTCTTAAATGTCTGTCTCTTCTCCTAGGTACAAGTATTTAATTCATCTTTGAGTCCTTAGCGTCTGTCGCAGTACATGGAATATAGTAGGTGCTTTGCAAATGTTTGCTATGTGGATACTTACAAGAGTTGTATTGGACTTTTCTTTCCTCAAAGATATGGGGCCAGCTCTGGCTGGTTTGCTCAGTGGTTAGAGCATTGGCCTGCGGACCAATGAGATGTGGGTTTGATTCCAGTCAAGGGTATGTACCTCGGTTGCGGTTCATCCCTGGCCTGGTCTGGTTATGCACGAGGCAACCAGTCGATGTGTTTCTCTCACATGGATGTTTCTCGCTCCCTCCCTCCCTCCCACTCTATCTGATGATAAATAGAAAAATATCCTTGCCCGGGCTTGTTTTGCTCAGCAGTTACAGCATCGGCCCATGGACCAGAGAGACCTGGGTTCGGTTCCCGCTGAGTGCATGTACCTTGGTTACAATTTGTCCCCGGCCCTGGTTGGGGTTGTGTGGGTGGCAACCACTCGATGTGTCTCTCTCACATTGATATTTCTCTCCCTCTCTCTTTCCCCCTTCTCTCTCCTGTTCTATCTGAAGATAAATGCAAAAAATGTCCTCGGGTGAGGATAAAAGAAAAAAAAGAAAAATATCCTTGGGTGAGGATTAAAAAAAAAAATAAGGGGCCAGTTAAAGATAGTGGTGTACAAATGAACCTGGTAAGATGGAGTGCTTACCCTATTGTCATTTGAAAAAAAAACATTTCTTCAAGTTTGGGGAGTATTTCTTTTTAAACATGCATTTATGGATCTTATTTATATGAAAGTTTATTAAAGCCTAGTTTTGTCTCAAATGTATTGTAAGCTTTTGGCAGCCAAGACCATGTCTTAATATTATCTCTATTTCTTCTACTTTGTTTCTACATGGGCAGCAGGTCCTCTGAATAAAGCAAATAAATACATATCCTTCTCATCTGTTATATGAATTAAAAAGTCTGTGCATGTCATTATACTGAGCTCGAAACTTTTTTAGGGCACAGAGCATATTGTGTTTATCTCTGTGTCCACAACATGTAGCACAGTGCCTGAATTTTAGTAGGAAGTAGGTAGTTGTGTTGACTGATCTCCTTGGAAGAAAAGAACTTTATAAACTACAAATGTTAATGAGATCATAAATTTCCTGGATCCACAGGCTACATGATCTGAACTACTACTGTTATTTGAATGTAAAATTATTTGGTTCTGATGTCCTTGGATGTTTTTCTTCACTCAGACTATGCACTTGCCTTTAACTTACTAAGCAAAGAACTACTCTCTCCCTTCCCTGCAGGCTGCCATGGCTGCCGTTGACAGCTTCTACCTCTTGTATAGGGAAATCGCCAGGTCATGCAATTGCTACATGGAAGCTCTAGCCTTGGTTGGAGCCTGGTATACAGCCAGAAAAAGCATCACTGTCGTCTGTGACTTTTACAGCCTGATCAGGCTGCACTTTGTCCCTCGCCTGGTGAGCAGAGCAGATCTGATCAAGCAGTATGGAAAATGGGCAGTTGTGAGTGGTAAGAAATGGGATTTCAATTTGTGTCTAATTTAAAATCAAAATAATTTTTCCTGTTTGTGTTTTAAGTTGGGTGCATTATTCAAGACATTACTGAATTTCATGGAAACTTGCTGATAAAAAATAAAATTTATTACTTCTGTTATGATTATGTTCACATTTTCTTACTGTTCTCATCTTGGAAGAATTTTCCTTTGATTTTTGTCCTTATTCTGCCCTCTCTGATTCCCAGTATTGCTCCAGCCTCACCTCCCTATGCCTTTTCCTTTTTGCTCTCTGTTTTGAAATTATCCTTACAAACTATCACCACTTTCAGAAATGCTGTCCTTATTTTAAATATCATTTAAAAATACTGTTTCCTACTGTGTCTCATCATTAACTTGATGAATGTAAAACAACTTTTCAGCCACCTGTCAAGGTGTCTGGGAGAGGGTTTGACTTCCATGTATCATTCATATTTTGATACTGTTCTTAAGTTATCAGTATTAGAACTCGCTTTATTTCCAGTGTGATTCTTTATCTGATTAAGCCCAGAAATGGGAAATGGGGTATTTAAGGTTCATTTTAAAGATCTCACCATGAAATAAGTATGCTCACTTTTCCTGGTTGTATTGTAGGTGCAACAGATGGGATTGGAAGAGCCTATGCAGAAGAGTTAGCAAGCCGTGGTCTCAATATTGTCCTGATTAGTCGGAACCAAGAGAAGTTGCAGATGGTTGCTAAAGACATTGCTGACACCTACAAAGTGGAAACTGATATTATAGTGGCGGACTTCAGCAACGGCCGTGAGATCTACAACCCGATTCGAGAAGCCTTGAAAGACAAAGACATTGGCATTTTGGTAAATAATGTGGGTGTGTTTTATCCCTACCCTCAGTATTTTACTCAGGTCTCCGAGGACAAACTCTGGGACATCATAAATGTAAACATTGCTGCGGCTAGTCTGATGGTCCACATAGTGTTACCAGGGATGGTGGAGAGAAAGAAAGGTGCTGTTGTCACTATCTCTTCTGGCTCCTGCTGCAAACCAACTCCCCAGCTGGCTGCCTTTTCTGCTTCTAAGGTAATGTATTCCTGATGGGAAATGAGATCATAATGCAATAGGACGTTTATTACAATGGTTTGGCCTAATTTATTGAGGTCTTTGTCAGCAACTCATGTTTGCTTATGCTGTATTTTTTTCTGAAATGATAAGCAAGCCTCACTTTCTCCGAATTTTTTCCCCAAGTTCCAGAAAATTAAAAGTCTTTTCCTCTGATCCATTACAGGCTTATTTAGATCACTTCAGCAGAGCATTGCAGTATGAATATGCTTCTAAAGGAATCTTTGTACAGAGTCTAATCCCATTCTACGTGGCTACCAACATGACTGCCCCTGGCAGCATTCTGCACAAGTGCCCGTGGTTGGTGCCTTCACCAAAAGTATATGCACATCATGCTGTTTCTACCCTTGGCATTTCGAAAAGGACCACAGGATATTGGTCCCATTCCATCCAGGTAACAGTATGCATTCATGCTTGTATTTAGGTTATTGCATCCTAAACCTTTCTAAATGATACCTGGGAATCTGACTGAAGTCTAAGGGTGAAAGGTGAGAATTTCACATTCTGATTCTTTTTTTTTTTTTAATCCTCACTCGAGGACATTTTTCCATTTTTTGTACAGATAGAGTGGGAGGGAGAGAGAGGAAGAGAGAGAGAGAGAGAAACATTGATGTGAAAGGGACACATCGAGTGGCTGCCACCCACATGACCAACCAGGGCCGGGGACAAACTGCAACCGAAGTACGTGCCCTTAGCGGGAACTGAACCCAGGTCTCTCTGAACTGCAGGCCAACGCTCTAACCGCTGAGCCAAACCGGCCAGGGCCACATTCTGATTCTTAAACCTGACACTTAATGGTTCTGGTTAAGTCACTAAATTTTCTTTTGTGGAATTATTATATTAAGAACATTAAAAAATTCAATCTATTTGACACTGAAGAGATGAAATAGGTTTCTTTAATATAAGTAGATGGTAGCATAATATCTTAATAAAAATATTAAGAATTTAGATGGGAATTTCAAAGTAAAAAGATTCTAGTAATGCTTGAGAGGGTACCTCTAAGTCAGTAGTGTGATCAAAAGACATAAAACCATACAATAGGTCTATATTTCATGTAAAAAAATTTTCACGTATCAATACATTCTTGGACTTTTGTTTAAGAAGCATAGGCCCTGGCCAGTTTGGCTCAGCGGTTAGAGCGTCGGCTTGCGGTCCAGAGAGACTTGGGTTCGGTTCCCACTAAGGGCACGTACCTTGGTTGCAGTTTGTCCCTGGCCCTGGTTGGGTCATGCGGGTGGCAACCACTCGATGTGTCCCTTTCATGTCGATGTTTCTCTCTCTCTCTCCCTCCCACTCTGTCTGAACAAAATAAATAAATAAATAAATTTCAAAAAAAAAAAGCATAGAATTTTTTTTAAGTTTATTCTTCAGGCAAGACTTGGGTCTTTAGTATTTTAAAGACTAACTTTGTCAAATATTTGAAAATTTGATTCTAAGTATTAGACAACTCATAGTGACATATTATAATAGACATGCGTCTCTTTAGCATAGTAAGTAGATGTACCCTAGTTTAGGGTTCTTTTTCCTTTACTATGTAGAGTTTTCTTAAATTACCAGCAGATATTTGGAGGACTCTGCAATAAAGATTATTAACTTTACCAATACCAAATAAATAGATAAGTAAATCCACAGTAAATTTTTATTTATCAAAAATTCTGGCTAAAATTTTCTTAATAAGCAGTTTTACTTAAGTGATTATTTCTAGGTCCTTAATTATTGAAAAAAAGCAGAGAAACCTAAAATAATTTTTGACTATGAAATTTCCTGAGAAATGAAGATAAAATAAAAATATTTAGATGCAGTAGATATTTTGACTGTATTTGTAAAACACTAACATATTAATTACAATTAAACTTGGTTCACATTGATGAACTTTTCTTGAGAATGTATAGATAGATGTATGTATATTTTTTCTGCCAAGACATTCTGTTAAGCTAATTTAATTACTAGAATAGCTTTCTATACAAAGTTGTTTAAACTTTCCATTTTTTCTATTTTCATTTTTATTTTGCTTAAATTATTTTCGACATTATGAAATCTTTTTCAGTTTCACAACAAAGATTTGATTCATCAATTGTTGTTTTGTCCATAGCAGATTTCTCTGATAGCTTTTGCTGTTGGGACTTTTTATAAAATAATTATTTTCTCTGAATTCATTTTTCTTAAATTGCGAAGATCTAAATTTTGTCAAAATTTCAATTGTGTATCTTTAGCTTAAAAGAAATTTACAGTGTGAAGTTTGATATGCCAAACATACTGTATAAAGTTTTGTTTTGTGCTGTTTATTCTAGTTAGTCTTCTATATTATGAATTAAAGAATAATAGAATGACTGTATTTTTTTTTTATCCTCACCCGAGGACGTTTTTTTCCATTTTTTGTTTAGATAGAGTGGGAGGGAGAGAGAGAGAAACATCGAAGTGAAAGGGACACATCGAGTGGTTGTCACCCGCACAACCCAACCCAGGGCCGGGGACAAACTGCAACCGAGGTACGTGCCCTTGGCTGGAACTGAACCCGGGTCTCTCTGGACCGCAGGCCAATGCTCTAACTGCTGAGCCAAACCGGCCAGGGCTGTATTTATTTCTTGACAAGATAGGTGATAGATTGAACACGAGTGGTTTAGGCTGCAGAACCTCAGCGGTGCCACTTACTCAGGTAGCGTGAGAGGAAGAGATCGTTTTTGAGAGACAATGAGTTTTACATGTGCTGGATTTGAAGGCTCTGGGAAATAGTTGAGAAGTGGAGTCAGCAGCTGCATAGATGGGAGCTCAGGTGAGGGGTTTGTACGGTCATTAGCATTTAGCTGGATGACAAGCTGTGGGTGGGTGATATCATCCAAGGAGAGTGTGTAGAGAAGAAAGGACAGCCTAGTCAGAGGCTCGAGGAACCCCAACATTCCAGGGGAAGGTGGACTGAGAACGGCAGCCAGTGGGATTCGTAGGAGAGGAGGGGAGTGGAATACGGATGCCAAGGGGAGAGATGGTTTTCAGGTGGAAGACATAGTCACCAGTGTCACGTGATGCCATCTGTCCCAAAGCATAAGGATCAACACATGTCTGTTGGGTTTAGAATCTTAGAAATCCTCGGTGACCTTGATGAAAGCAGTTTTGGAGGCATTTTAGGGAGCAGCCTGATTGCAGAGTAGGTGGTGAGTAGGGGGAAGCTGGGGATACGGGGACCTTGTGCTCAAGATACAAGGCTGTGCAGGCGTTGCGCTGGGCCCAAGGAAGGAATTCTGTTTGTTAGTTAATCTGTGCAAGTTAGCGGTGACTTGACTAATTTAAGACCTGAGGACGGGTCTGTGGAGAAGGGCTTAAAGACTGGAGAAAGAAGGCATAGTTCCTGGAGGTGGGCGAGTGGGCTGAGAGAGCAGGTAGCGGGAAGTGGTGTGAACTTTGGAAACGACTAGAAAGTGAAGGAGAGAGGAGAGGCTAGGAGTCCTCTGGAAGCTGAGGGGCCCTGTCTGATGGCTCCTGTGAGGTCAGGTCTGCTCAGCAAGGGTGAGGCAGAGGGGTGCGAGGCTTGAGAGAGTGAGGTTTGAAATAATCATTGTGAAGAAAGGGGAGTGAGGTGCTTGGGAACAGTCTGTGGATTGCTGAGCAGAGTGATGATGGGGACTGGGAACTGACGGCGGCTTCAGCCTGTGCAGCTGTCCTCTGGCAGCACTCAGCACATGCGTGTCTGTTACCCGTCTGGAAGCCACTTCCAAGGTGGCATCGAAAGTAATTCCACAACATGTTACTGAGAACATTTCTAAGTTTGTGTGAAAAGATTATTTAAAAAATTTTTTTTTCTTTATTCATTTAGAGAGAGGAAAAGAGAGGGAGAGAGAGAGAGAAACATCGATGAGAGAGAACATCGATTGGCCGCCTCCTGCATGCCCCCCATGGGGATCGGGCCCACAACCTGGGCATGTGCCCTGACCAGGAATTGAACTGGCGACCTCTTGGTGCATGGGTCACTGCTCAACCACTGAACTACACCAGCGGGGCTGAAAAGGTTATTTTTGATGAGTGTGCACAGAGATTGGGGAGCAGGTTTCCTCGCTCGCCCGTGCCTCAGCCTTCCTTACACATGTCCTCATTTCCTTACACACGTCTGTGAAACAGCATTTCTAAACAGGAGCAGTTAGAACTGACTCATGACCCTGATACCTTTGCTTTCTCAGCAGCCATTTCATATAATTTAGCAATTGCATCTTAAGTGTATTATGCTAGTTGTCTTAATAAAGATTTGCAAGCAAAAAATAGAAAAAAATGATTTGGACTAAAAACAGCTAAAAAGGAGTCAAATGTATTTGTTTTAATTGTTAACTATAGATATTAATATTGATTTGGGAACATTTCTCATCATTTTCAGAAGTGGCATTAGGAATTACTAAATTGTCAACTTTGGAACACATAGTAAGTCCAACAGAAAAAGGAGGGCCTTTTCTTTATAGCTCTGTTTGTGATCCTTGACATAAAGGCCAGAGACATGCTGGTATGTGTATGGCTGAAAAACCAATTCATTTAACAACTTGAACAGTGAGTCTCTTGCTTATGAACATGTAGACTGTGTTCCAGGTCATGGGATTTACAAAGCTCCAGGGAATGGGGAGTGGAGTAGGAGATTCTGAGCTCTCTGATTGGCTCATGGGAAATCAGAGCCATTTTGTGTGTTGCTATGGGAAAGAGAAAACGTAGCATTGAGGGGAGAGGAGGAGAGAGGTGGAGCTTGGTGGAAACGAGAATGCCCTGAGGCTCCATATTGAAGTGTGGGTGAGGGTCCAAGGGAGCAAGGCTGACTACTGTGTTAGAGGTTAAAGCCCTTCTGCCAGGTTTCATTGCAGAGGAAGACCAGCTCCTTTCTTAGGTCTGGACAGACTGGTCAGGAGTCCTGAGCGTGCACAAAGCCTTACAGAACCTGAAACCCCACCCTCCTCTCTCTCTTATACACACACTGACACACTCATGCCCTTCTCCTCTTCACTTTGGGTACTCTTCTGCAGTTCGGAGTGCCCAGAGACGTGGCATTTCTTTCCAGTGACTGTTACTATCTAAACAGATCAATGAGTCAATCCCTTTAGTTTATCTGTCAGTACCTGGGGGATAAAATTCTCCCCTCCTCTTCCACTAGCTCTTTCCACCAAGCTCCTGTCACCTTGCTGCTCAGGATGCTAAAACCTCATTGGGATGAGCCAGATGTGGTATGTCAGTGTAGTCTCCATGTGTAGCACCATAGAAAACTGTCGAAACATACCTGATGCTGGCCCCCCCTGCAACAGACAGTGGTCATGGATGGAAATGAAAAACAGATTTTTAGATGCTGATTCTTCACTGAATACTGAAAAAATGTACTTTGAATGGGGATTCAATTATCTAGTCTGTCTCAGGTGCCTATGAGTTTGAGTGCAACACTACTCACTACTTACAGGGTCCTCCCTCAGGGACCATAAGCTGACATCTTTTATCTCCTTGAATTCAGAACATTTTGCTTTAGGACAGCAGCTCCAAGGAAGAATATCCAGGATTTTTTCCCCCACGAAATCCTGGTTCTTTATAGAGGTCCAAAGAGACCTTAGTCCCCCAGAAAGTTACCATGGCTCCAGGCCAAAATACTGGGCTTCTGTCTCCGAGGTGGTGAACTAGAGCTGTGCAACCTGTTGTGAACAGCTGTGGTTCCAGGACTGTCATCCTGCAGTTCATCACCCTGGGACTCCTACTTGTTTGTGTGGTTCCCTGGAGGTGCAGAGTAACCTAGGCTAGAATTTTAGCACTCACTGGGCTTGTTCATCTCCCTTTCTTAACATGCAAGGTGTTAGAACTTTCACTCGTATAACTTGCCATACTGACAGATCTGTCAGTATCATGTTGGGTTTCTCTACCTCAGCACTGTTGGCATTTGGGGTTGGATAATTGCTTGTAGTAGAGCTGTCCAATGCATTATAGGATGTTCAGCCCATCCTTGGCCTCTACCCACTGGATGCCAGTAGCACCACCACCTCAGTTGTGACAACCAGTAATGTTCTGGACATTGCCATATGTCCCCTGGGGGAGGGGGACAAAATGGCCCTGGTTGAGAACTCTTGTAGCAGAACATCAGCCGGACTCCCTCCCTGGATCCGCAAACCATCCTCATTACATCTCAGTGTACTAGAGTCCTGATGTTTTTGACTCAGTTCTCTTGTTGAACTTGGCTCCATTCTGCCCCTCAAATCTGTTTTCTTACATAGTACTAACCACACATGCATTTATCTATTTCAGCTGCCTTTTCTTCTGGAGTTTGTAATTCTTAACCACATTAAGCAAATTAACATACTATTTATATCAAGTAAAAATGGAATCCTATTACTGCATGTAGGTCTACCTGTCCTCATCAGAGAAAGGGGGTGGATGGATGGTGATCATGTTTCTATTTCCATAGGTCTAACATAGAGTCTTATACAAAAGTAGGTGCTTAGTAACACCCAAGGTCTTTTTCCTTCTTTGTATTTAAAGTGATGGGTGATATTTGTTGGATTAAATCAGATGCTCATCTGTACATTTCAGTGCCAATGGCTTTGGGTTCTAATCTTATAACCTTTTTCTCTTTCATTTTTAGTTTCTTTTTGCACAGTATATGCCTGAATGGCTCTGGGTGTGGGGAGCAAATATTCTCAATCGTTCTTTACGTAAGGAGGCCTTATCCTGCAAACCATGAACCTGGATGATTTTTTGGGAAGTTTCGCCAACTCATGGGAACCTACAGTATTCTGACATTTGGAAGAACACATTTAATTTATCTTCTGTATTTTCTTTTATTACTGGTTATTTAGCATACCATTGACTCATCATTTGCAAAGAAAACAATACTTTTAGAGAATACTGTGGGAAAACCTCAAGGGCCACATGGATGGTACAGAGTAAATAATGATTGAGGCATAAGAACTGATTGAAGAAAACTAAATTTGGATGCCTTTTTCCCCCTAAGCTATTCAAAAGTTGTGATTTATAGTTTTAGGAGCTACAGCAATCTGATATTGAAATATACTTAGAACATGACTTGTCTCCTCTTATAATTTCTTATGTTGTTTTTTAAATAGAAATTATTTCAGTAGATGAATTGTAGTATTGGTTTTCAAATGTTCATCAGGAAGGATTATTTAAAAGTGTTATTTTATAAGATTGCTGGTATGATTAACAGTAGAAATCTGTGTGTTAATATTGTGTAGCTCTTGTTGTTTATCTGTGTATGAAAATGCTGCTTTTCAACTGATATTTCATTAGAGAACCATATATGTATGGATGTTATGTTCATTGAGGCAACTTTATAGGTAAGTTACTTTAAAAAGTTTTTTTGTCAAGATGATTTAATGTGGAACCTTACAGGGTATTCAAGTTCTAGATGACTCCTCTTCATACTAAACAAGCTTACCCAATTTTGTGCTATAGGCTTGCCATGTTATAATATTACTTAAAACATTCTGTTTTTTTTTAAATCTACCATGGAATTAGTTCATTCTGAGATTTGGATATGTAATGATTGACTGTCAATAATCTCTTGATATATAATTATTGTGGATAAGTAGTGATTTCTCAGCCTATGACCCATTTTTTTTTAACTGAAATTTAGTCCTTTAGAGCTTGTTAAATCTAGTTTTCATACACTTTTCTATGTAATATTATTCCATTCCAGTAGCATTATTGGTGTAAATATCAAGTATTTATGGAAAAGTAGTTAAAATATGGACAAATGTGTGTGATATGTATTGTATCTGTTGAAATAAGTTAGAAACTCATTTTTTGTTCTTGCAATTAATTTATGCATTATAGTGAATACTTTTATTGGTGTGAAGATAATTATGTACAACCCTCCACAATATGGGTTAGCATTGAAATGTACTGTGAAATGTTTTTGGTTCAGGCCCTAAGCTTTAAAGCCAGACATTTTGAGAACCACACACCTAGTGCTTTGACAGTTATAAATCACTGTATGAATATGACAATATGTGCAAAATAGAAATTCGGAATTTAATATTGGGGCACTGATGCAGAAGCTAATACATTTTTGAAATCAGGATTTTTATGGAATTTTCTCCTGAGATGATGTTCCATTTTGAGTAGGCCTAAGCCTGCTTTGATGTTATACCCACAATTTTGCCAGTGACATTGCCTCAGTATTTCCAGATGTGACTTGGACTTGGTTCATAATCTCTTCCACTTACAGATCAGGCCTTCATTATATAAGAAGACATTCAGATGTGAAAAGGTACACACTAGCGGCACTATATAACACTGAAGGTTTTGGTGGAGTTAGAAGCCTTTATTTGGTCACATTTGGCATTTTCTCTCACTCAACAATTAATTTATGGTCATTAAGACAGGAGAAAAATTGACTTCATGCTACATTGACCTGAACTTTGATGTGTAATAAGCAGCAGCAACTTTATGTAAAAAAAATACCATATTTATAGCTAAGGTGTGATGTGGTACAGCAATGTCTTACACTTATAGATTAGGTATTGAATCATTGTTACATGATGAGAATGAGTAAACCATGTCAGTGATGTTTTAAAATTCTCTACTTGGCAGGATGCATGTGAATAAGCTGATTGATACAAAGTTAGTGAAAGATCAAAACCTAGAATCTTCCTTGGGTTTTGTGTTTCATAAAATACTCTCCCCTAGAGCTCATTTTAGAGTCATAATTGGATCACTGTTGATGGGGTTTCTTATTAAGAATGTAGGAAATAAGAACCTTTGAAACAGGCTGTGAACAAGTTAATAATGAAGGTGGTTGCTTCTTTCTTTGGAAGAGGCTTTGCTCCATATATTTGTAAATGGGTTGTCTGGAATGAGAGATACATTTTCCCCATAGAAACAATTATTTAAAAATTGTGAAAACCTAATTTAATAACACCTGTGGATGCAATTCATTAAGAGCTGGTAATTCAAGAAAATTGTTCATAAGCGTGTCTTTTGAAAATACTAAGTTGATTTCTTCATCTCATTCTCCTGATAGGATGAGATGAAGAGGGTTGATTTTGATCGTTGACTTTGGCAACATGGAGATCACTGGCAGTTTTGCCATAAGCCATTTCATCGATTGGTGGGGATGAAAGGTAGATTGTAGTGGGTTCGAGAAAGAGTGGGAAGAACTGGGAGACAGCAAGGAGAGACAGCTCAGTAGGAGTATTTTTGTTTTGTTTTGTTTTAATCTTAAGTTACTTAAAATCCTGTCAATTTGGGAACCAGAGGGTTTAGGTGGTGGTCTTCTATCTTTTACATTGTGTGCCCTCTGAAGCCAAGTCCAGTCTTTCCGTGTCTCTGTCTCAGTATTGGCTAAGTTGTTATTCTTTAAAATAACATCTAGTTTGAATAAAGAATTACCTTTCATGGAATTGTGCATGCTTTATTACACCATGAAGCATGGGTCTAGGAAATTATTACAGAACCTGGAATGGTGGAAACCGGGAGATGAGGACCCTGTGGCTCTCAGCCTCTCTTGGTAGATTTCTGAGCCATGTGTCTCAAGTCCAGGTCCCCTTCAGTTTATAGAGTTTTCAGGAGCTGGCAGCATTCTTCTCTTCCCTAATTTGGGCTTCACTATCACATGACAAGGATGTTTGCAATTCACTAGCTTATCTCAGCCCCTAACAGTTGGGCTGTGTGTATTCAGTGGCAATGTGTCTTGAAGGGCTGTTAAAAGGAACTTGGCCAAGATCAATTTACCCCAAATTAGAACAGTTAAGTTTAAGATCAAGTACATTAATGGTGGCAACAGGGAGTGAGTGGGTTCTTAACTTTGAGGATTTACAAATGCAAGTGCAAGTTCCTAACATTGATACAATCTCAAAATGGGTGGTGGTGGTGGGGTATTTAATCAGGTGTGGGTTGGTCTAGATGTAACTGCTACCATTTAATTGAACATGTATGACTCAAGCTTTGTATGTTTTATTTAACCCCCTTCTATTAAGTAGGTATTAATATCTCTCTTTTGGGTAAGGAAGGTGAGGTATAAAGAACAGAATTACAACTTGCCCAAAATCACAAAGCTAGCAGGTGAGTCTGTGTTTATCCACCGTATTAAATCAGTTTGTTAAAGGAAAGATTAAGTGCTGTGATTTTTTTTTTTTTTTTGTCATGTCGATCTCATTCAACATTATCATGCTGCGGTGGAAAGTTCAAACAAGACAAGCAGTTTGACTACACAGCACATCACTTTTCATTAGCATTATCCAAACCATGTTTTTAGTCCCCCAAGTTGTGCCCAATGCCAAGTGCGGGCCACTTCAGCATATTTAGATAGAAAGCCTGTGATCCCTAGTAGCTAGATCACCCAAACATTTTTGGGGGAGGCAAACTTTTGATCATTGTTTCTTCAAAAAGGGTAACACTTGGTATTAGTGGTCCAGGCGAGGCGGAAAGGGGACAAGAGTGGAGCGGACAAGGTTTGAAGCAGGGGTTTCACCTGTCAGGGTGGGAGTCAGGTGACCGACTGACTCAGGTGACTGATCCACTCGGCCCCGTATCAGCTGCCATTGACTAAATGGGTAGAGGTTCGCAGAGTCGGTGCCTAGGGGTGCCGCCCGAGCCTGGCTCTGGGTCCTGACACCTAAAGACCCCACGAAGAGAGCATTGGAGTACCTACCGTACAGCTTCAGGCGTTTATAACAAACGCTGGCCACGGGGGCCGTTCCACCAGGGCATGGGCCAGCACGGCCGCTTTCGCGCTTGGACCTGTTCTCCAAGTCTTGGCCCCAAAGCCCAGCGACTCCCACGCCGAGTCGCTCCTGCAGTCGGATCCCCACGACACCGACTCGGTCCGAGCAAGATAACCATGCCCCACTGCTTACCGCCCCGCCTCCTCCCAACAGCCGTAAACGTCGCGAGACTGTCGTCCGTCCTCCCGGCCCGGGCCCCGCGGCCCTCGGCGTCCAGAGCGCGCACGCAGGGCTCACGCAGGTTACGCACGGCCGGCGGGGCGGGCATTCCTAGCCGTCGGTTTCCCCGTTCTGATGGTGCAGTCTCGCGAGATTTGGGAGTAAATAGCCCCGAATGGAGACCCGAGGCGTGTTTGCCGCGGAGGCACCGTTATTCTGGGCCCTCTGGCCCGGAGCTTAAGACAGCGGCAGGTACGTTAAGCGACCCGTTTCCAGAGGCGCCGCCTCTTCTCCAGATCTGCCAGGCTGCTGGCCCGTTCAGTTGTGCCTCCCCCGTCCGAGGCCCCGAGGGTGGGAGTCTGCGCGGGCGGTGGTTGGGGCCTCCCTGCGACCCTGGACCCGCAGGGAGGGGAGGCGGGACGCGGGCCAGGGGGCGTGCGGTGAGGCCGGGCATCTAGATGCGCCGGCTACGCGGCGTGCATGGCGGTGGGAAATGAACAGCCCCCTCTGCTCGCCAGACCCGGCCTGGACTTAAACGGCTGGTCTCCCTGCCCGGCCTTTTCTACGTGTTTACGGTGGGAGCTGGCTCAATTTCTTTTTCTTTCTGTGAAATCAGCTTGCGCGGAGTGAAACCGTATGCCCGGCTCTGGTCCTCAGCCTCCGAACGTACCCGTAGTGCTAGGTGTACTCCCAGAAGGGTTCTGGTATCAGATTGTAAATGACCTCAGTTCTTTGCCCTAGCTGAGTCTACACACTGCTCTGGTGTTCAGAAATGCGGTTAAGAAGCTCTCGGCAAGTTGGGCCCCTGAGGCTCCTGGGTTTACTCAGAACCAGAGTGCCTTTCAGACCTTGTAGGATCCTCAAGTCTTCTTGCCTTGCTCTGTCATGATGTGCTTCCCAAGACTGCTATAGAGCAACATCATTTTTGTTAAGATGTTTACGCTTTGTTTTTGTTAGAGCCACTGAGAATCTTGGCCTCTCTGTGTATGTAAATTAAGTTCACTATTTAATATTTACTTTAAAACACAAGTGAGATAGAGGGGCCCAAGATCTGAACTGAACTCTGGAGAATTTAGTTGCCTGTGGACCTTTAGTCATAACTATGCTAGTACGTAGCTCTCTGACTTACTCATTTTGCATATGTATAAAAACGAGGGGCCTGGAGAACAGTGATTTTCCCAACTTTTTTTTTTTCACCTGCAGCACCCATTTTATTTATATATATGTATATATATGTATATGTATATATGTATATATATAACTTTTTTTAATCTAAGAACTTTGTTAAAGTAAGGTTTTACATACCGTGAAATTCACTTGTGTTAAGGTACTTATTCAGTGATTTTAATTTTTATTTATTATTATTATTTTAATCTCCACCTGAGAATGTTTTTCCATTGTTTTTTTTTTCTTTTTCTAAACAGAGTGAGAGGGAGGGAGGGAGGGAGGAAGAGAAGGGAACATTGATTGGTTGCCTCCCCCAGGACCCCGACTGGGACTAGGGATCGAACTCACAACTGAGGTATGTGCCCTTAACTGGGAGTCGAACCCATAACTCTGGTCCGTGGGCTGACGCTCTGACCACTGAGCCAAACCAGCCAGGGCTATTCAGTGATTTAAAAAAAAAAATCAAATTTAGAGTTGTGCAGTCATCACCAAAATTTACTTTTAGAACATTTCTATCACTCCAGAAAGATCCCTGGTGCCTGTTTATAATCACTACCCATTTCTAACCCGGGCTCCAGATCACCACTAATCTGTTTCCCTAGATTTGTTTTTTCCAAATATTTAATAGATTCAGGTGGAATTATATGTGGCCTTTTGTGTCTGGCTTCTTTAATTTAGCATGTTTTCAAGGTTCATCCCTGATGTAACATGTATCACTATTCCTTTTTACGGCCCAATAATATTCTATTTTATGGACATAAAACATTTTGTTTATTCATTTATACGGAACACCTTTTGCAAATAAAATTTTATTTTATGTTTCTATGTATGATGCAGATGGCCAGAGCACTTTTTTCAAGGTGGGGGTGACTCTTGCCTCTTAGTTCTCTCCATTGCAATCCCTGAGCATCTGTTATAATCAAGAGTTGCTTGTGTTTATGAAAAAGGAGAAATTCTAGTGAAGTGCTTTTGGAGCCTTTGAAGCACCCATGGGAACTTTTCTAGTCAACAGATTTGTAGCATTCCCTTCAAATTAACATGTTCTTTGATTTTATTTTCTATCATTTGGGTAGTAGGTAGTTCTTGCCCACTGCTCTTTATTTTTGCAGCACAAGTAAAATTAACAAAAGCTAGGGAGGGTGAAGACTTAGGTGAACTGCACAGGGCTACCATCAGTGCTTTAAACAGGATTTGGGTTGAGGTGGGATGGAGGTTGGGGAAAGGGGAGATTTGCAACCGCCTCTTTGTACTAGGAGAGAGTTGAGACATTGGTTACATTTTATTGGAAAAACTTGACAACTCCAGCTCTTGGTGACTTGAAATATTAAGAACCGGAGGCTAAACTTTGGTGTTTGGGTAGGGGACCTTGGTCTCTTCCATTGTTGCCTGAGACAGGTTAGGAGGTGGTTAAAAAAGACTTGTTTATTTTTCCTTCTCTGCTTTCCTCGTCAGTTTTGATGTGCTGCAAAAATCTGTTAACTAGGTTTATTAATCTGGACAATGTCTTTTTGCTTAAGGAAATGAGTTTAAAGTAAAATGAGGAAAGTACTGAATTTGGAGGTGCCTCATATGTGGCTAGCCAGTACTAGAGGACTAAAGGCTAAAGAGAACAGGAGACAGTAGCAACATGTGTAAAAGAATAGGCAATAAAAGTACAGATCAAGATTTTTAAAAATCTTATATTTTTTCTTTATTGATTTTAGAGAGAGTGGAAGGGAGAGAGAGATAGAAACATCGAAGAGAAAGAACATAAATTGACCATCTCCTGCATGCCTCCCACTGGGGCTGGGGCTGGGTCCGGGGCCCACAACCTGGGCACGTGCCCTGTCCGGGAATCAAATTGGCGACCTCTTGGCGCATGGGTCTACTCTCAACTAGTGTGCCACACTGGCCAGACAGACCAAGGTTTTTTAATTTTGGCACTATTGACTCTTTGCTGAATTATATGTGTTTCCAGCCCCACCCCACCCCCCTCCAATCTACTAATAGATAGAATGTGCCAGGAGGAACGGTTCAGTGTATAGTGTGGTCTGGCACAACTTAAAATGATAGCCTATTAAATAATGCTAATATAGCCAACTATGCAATTAGTTATGAAAGTGGTATTTTTACATTCAAATTTTAATTGAACTGAATGGTACCCTTTCATGGCCTAAACACAATTCAATTTTGTTTGGAGCTATTTCAGTAAAGGTTTATTAAAAAGCAAAGCATATCTGCATAATTAGGTGACTATTGGGTGATACAGGTAATTTCCTCTCACCTGAATTACGTTTTTTAATTATTTGC